CTGGCTAGACGGCTGCGCGGAGCCTCCTGCTGCTTAGTCCCAGTCGAACATTGTTATTTAAGACTTTCTTTCATAATTAAAAAAACACAGCAGGCTGAAATTTGCAGTAATTACAGCACGATGGATCATTTTCTCCTCAAAACCATTTGCGCGAATTCGCGAGTGAATATCAGCTTCCTTTGTCTCTCTTTGGCGTTTATGAAAAGCATTTGATAGCGCAAGTTTGAATGCTCCGGCTCTTGCCTAGGGAAGGATAAACGGGAACAGTGTGGAAATTGTTGAGGAGGCGAACCCAGTCTGCTCAGTAAACATAACACTTTTTCCAGTCCAGTCCGTTTAATGTTCAAGAAAGGTGTGAAGCAGGACTACCGCGAAGTGGAATTCCGAAAGCTAGATTGAAAAAATAATCTGGAGGCCAGTGGCGAGTAACTAAATTACATTTCGTGATGATATACTTATTTTGACCAGCAATCGCAAGATAAATGAGTTGTTGCGATAACTTGACGCACGATACAAAGGGATGGCCTGAATATTAACGCTTTGAGGACGAAGATGATGCAGAGTGCTGATACGTCTGTAGCAAAATTGCATATAGGCAGTGTTGACTTAGAAGTTGACAGCCACATCTGTCTTGGCCAAGAAGTAAATATGCCCCAAGGTCGCCAACAAAAGATCGAACGTCAAGGAACGGCTGATTGGTATAAATTCCACATCTTTGTCGATATTCCTAAACTATCGAATCGGAAGGACCATGCTTACCTCTTCATTGTCGCTGTGTTAAAGTCTATTACGTAAGGATGCGAAACATGGTCGCCGACGAAAGTTGAATAGTGAGCGCTAGTTGTGACCGAGAGAATAATGGAACGAAAGATGTTTGCTGCTTTTCTTCTGGACTACGTAAGTAGCTACACTCTCCGTCACATAAGCGACGTGCAACATATCACTGCAGCCATGTGAAATAGTAGAATTGAATAAGCAGGGCTAGTCGTTTACCTTGCTGGCAACTATTTGACGTAGCGCATTAGCGAACGGCGGCGCAATCACTCGGACGGTTCGTGAAGAAGTGGTCCACGTTCCAGCTGGAGGTGTGCAGCTCAGGGTTGAGGGGCCCGGCATGTGTGATTTCATTAACATGAAATCCCCATTCCGATTGCCCAAGTGATGTGAAATCATGCACGTGTATTTGCTCTGCAGATTTGCTCGGCCCGTAAACTTCAGTTATCTGCGTTGAGTCCAGTATTGTCCTAAAGACGTTATGTTTATGGAGCTAATCTGGCTAGCCAAGCATGTTGAGGGGGTTTTTTTTTTAAGTCGAAGCTAAGGCCATGTCCAGATGGTGCTGGCAGCATCCTAGAACCTCGTACCTCCACATACCGACGTTTGAGTGGGAGTGGATTTCAGAATCGGCTGGTTTATGTCCAGGACTAGAGAAACGAGCAGTATTGGGGTACGGAAACGAGCTTTCGTGGCTTATGGGGACGAAGTGTAGGATTTGGGACCGAGATTATGCTCCATTTAAACTCTTTGTTGGTGTTCTTTTAGAATGACCCGGGAAATCATTTTTGAGACAGACTCCTTTTTGTAAATTTGTGAATGTTTAGATTTTGAGGCACCGCGGCACAAAATAAAAGCATTTGGCTGGGATAATTCGGAAGTTGGCGATCTGAGTGGATGTCCCTTCATCGCCGATCGGCATCAGTATTCCAGAGGTACTTATATGTAGCACTGTTGGCGCACTCGATACTGTTTGCAGAAGCAACTCAAGCAGCAGCCTTGACCCAGCTAACGATGGAGTGGGCAACTGCTGTTAAATGCGAGAATATAGTGTGGCGGCCTCCTGTTGAGGGATTTCTGGGGCAGCGCTGAACTGTGTGTATTCAGGAGCCACTCCAGCTACTGTGAATTAACTTTAATCCATCGTTGGAGGGCTTTCCTTTAGGTGCATCCTTCGTTTACCCACTGCGCAGATGACCGTAGTATATATTTTTGAAACAGTAAACAAGTTATATTGTTTGAATCTTCTCGCAGCATCCTCTCAGTAGAGGCTCTCTACTCCTACAGACTTTTGTCCTCCCTCTCCTCCTTTCTTCTCCTTAGCCTGTCCTGGCTTTCGCAAACAGAGGACAGCGAGGCACTGCTGTGGTGCACCAGGGAATCCTACAAGCCGCTACGGTGTTGTGATGGTCACCGTCAGTATTGGTTAACAGAATGATCTGCCTTTGAAGGCGTTAAGTGTTCTCACACGATACCGTACTGGTGGCATCGTGCTTGTAAGGTACTAGCGTGTCTTCTCTCTGGTCCACCAAGTTCGTTTATGTAAGAAGAAATACGTGGTGAAAACGGGGCCGTAGGATGTTAGCCCGAGGAGCAAAATTTGTCCAGTAGATTGTGCAATGGCGCAACAAAACCAAGTGGAAAATTTCAAGTCGTAGCTAAATTGACGTTAACTGAGCTGTGGGAAGCATTATTGTTCAAAAAAAGCGAATTAGATCCAGAGCTGCGGAATTTAGCGGGCAGCTGCTAGAAATGCCATGCTGAACTGAAACAAGTGCTGCACGGAAGGGTGGGGGTTGCCTCTTTTTACGCAGTCACCGATACGTTGATTATCTGCTTTTGTGCCGTGCAATATCATTTGGCATTGCTCGCATCTATATCTCCGGATCTTCTCTGCATTACTTCTCAGCTAGTATTTCCTGTTGCTTTGTGCGTTTCGAACTTTGCGGGGTCCTGGGCAACTTTCAGCCGCAAGCTCCTCCCTGTTCCACCCTCAGTTGCGTTGCCATTATGAGGGACAACTTTTAAAATGTGCCATTTGTGCATCTTTGTGAGTCGTTTTGCCAGCCTTAGTGGCAGGCGTTCGTTGTTCGAGAAACGATGCTCTGCCGACGACGGGAAGGCGGGAATTCGATGTGACATCAAACCACTGGTTTAGGCGCCGATTAATCAAGCATGAGAAAATAGGGACGTTTGAATTTGAGGTATTTCAAAATACGGGAGTTTTGGATGCAAAAATTTCATTGGGCGAACAACGAAAAGTGGTGCTTTTGCTCTGTCCGGAATCCACTACACCAGTAATGCAGGGGAACGCGTACAAGTGTGCAGCTCAATAGTTTTGTCTGTTGAATGGAAGCCTCGGGTAAATATGAACTGATCTGTGCTTTGTGAAGAGGGCTTGCCTTCTTTTGTACGTAGACGGGGGAAGAGTTCCATGCTAAGTGCTGCAGTGAGGGGACTGGAACTTATAGTCATCTTCATGCGTACATTTGTAATTTACCGTAGGGGGGAAGAACCTGTAATGGCTGGTTTGATCGTTGTCTGAATGATAGCTCATCGTCTTTTCGCTTTTTTGGTGACGCCTGTCTGGGGTAAATAAATGAGTTTGACGGGGGTTGTCGCGGAAGTCAAACTTTTTCTGCTACTTCATTATTGTGACCACAGTTTTGTTAAGTTGTATTACCATTCGCAGTTATTCTGTGCGAGGTCAAAATCTTT